CAGGGTACCATCTCCATGATGAATTGACCTACATTGTCTCAACTCTGTTACATTGTGACTGGCCCAATGCCTTCTGGTTAAAAGAGGGCAGCTGTTGGGCCCATTCCCAACAAGGACTTAATTTCTTGTCCATAATGGCTTCATTACCTTTGGTCCACACCTCAGAATTCTCTAAAAATATAAAAGGAATTCTGTAGTTTGAAAAGTGTATTTGTGGTTTCTGCTTAACTCAAAATCACATCCTTTTCATTTTTGTTGTTGTTGTTAGCTGCTGTTGAGTCAACCTCGACTCATGGTGATCCTGTAAAAGAGACATCTCCAAAACCCCCTATCCTCTGTCTCTCTATTCAGGTCCTTTAGGCTCAGGCTTGTGATCTGCCTGATCGAGTCTTACCATTTGGCATGTGGTCTTCCTTTCTTTCTACTGCCCTCCTCCTTCCCCAGCATCATTGTCTTGTCTAAGGAGTTGTGTCTTCTTGTTATGTGCCTGAAGTACGACAGCTTCAATTGTCATCTTGGCTTCCAGGGAGAGTTCAGGCTTGATTTGTTCTAGGACATATTTGTTTGTCTTTTTGGCCATCCATGGTAGCACTCTTCTCCAGCACCACATTTCAAATTAATTAATTTTCTTCTTATCTGCTTTCTTCACTGTCCAACTCACAAACATACATGGTGATGGGGAATACAATGGCTTGTATGATTCTAACTTTAGTGCTCCGTTGCATATCTTTACACTTTAGGATTTTGTCTAGTTCTTTCATAGTTGCCCTTCCCATTCCTAATCTTCTTCTGATTTCTTGACTGCAGTCTTTTTATACTGCTGATGAAATGGCACATTTTGTTTTTTTGTTTGTTTTTAAATTAAATCACATGTCCATAATAAATAAATCTAGCCCTGCTACTTGGCAGCCAATTTTTCACATTGAGAATTTTATTGAGTTAGTTGATGTATGCAAGAAAAACTGTTCAATCAAAATGCTGGCAAGAAAAGAAAATGATGATGGTGTAAGTATAAACTTTAAAAATAATTAACTAGCTCATTGGTTTTTAATTAAAATTGATATTTTTATATTTGATTGCAGTGTCGTAACTCTGACTATTTTTACTAGGAAAGAAAAGAGGGATAAAAGCCAAGGACCCCCTATTGTACTACCTCTGCCCCTCTGAAAGCTGGTATCCAGAAGACAGATTATTGGAATCTGAATAAATAAATTGCAATATTTGCAAATACTAATTAGTATGGTTTGTTAACTGTTGCGAAATTGAAGAAAGGTCTGTATTATAGTTTGGATTGTCAGTGTTTATTGTCAGGTCCCAACTACGTACGAGGGGGTATCGTAAAGTTTTAATTATCACCTTTAAAAATTTTT